ATTGAGCACTTATGTGTCAGGCTCTGCTGAATACTGCATGTACTAATCGTCACGCAGCATCTATTGAGTGCCTACTCTGTGTGCGTACTTCCTGAGCACCAACTATGTACCGAGCTCTGGAAAGATGGGGGAGTCATGAGAGGGCAGGGGAAGAAGGGGGACAAAGCTGCCTTGAAATGTCATGTGGTGACACTGGTGAGTGTGGACTTTCTCATTACACAGACAAGGGTTCAGAGACAGGCCCGAGGTCACACGGTGCCTGCTGGTGTTGGAGGGCCACGTGGCCTTGTGTGTGTTGGGGACATGACAAGGCAGGGGAAGTGGCCAGGGACCCCATCCCATGGCTTCAGGTGTCCTCTGGCTCTGTCCACCCTCCAGCCACTGGCTACATTCCTGAAACTCTCCTCTGGTAACAGGGTGGCGGGGAAGCCAGGAATTCACTCGAATGTAAACAGAGAGTTATTTTCAGCCCTTTCCCGGGGCTGGCGAGGGTGACACATTTGACTTTGGAGAGGACCGAGGTGCATCTGGTATTTTTAACTTCTCTCTCACGGCCCAGGAGCCCACCTGGCACCGGCCCCTGCTTGGTGCCAACTGTTTACCCCATGGAGAGGGGGGCTATGGGACCCAGGCAGCCATTCTCATCCACCCCACCTGGAGAAGGGTCATCCCGTGTCCCTGGCCATCACCTGCTAGTTCTTCCAAGCCACAAAATGGCCGCCCGGGCCACAGAACCATCTGGAACCCAGAGGAAATGGCCGCCCAGGGGATGATGTCATGGGTGGTTTGGCATCTCCACCAACCGTGGCATGCTGGGACCCTGAAGTCACCTCCCTGGACAGATGTCCCCAGGGTGTCCAGACCAAGTGTCCCCAAGGGGGGTCCCTGGCCTCGGCCACCAAGGACACAAAGGACACGTGGCCTGGTCGGGTCAGGGGACAAGGGTGGACGTGGCCAGGATTCAGGCCCAGTGGTTCTGAGCTAGATGGAGTGACCCACAGAGGCCGGGGATGCCTGGCTGGGAAGCAATGCACAGGTTGGCGCGGGGCCCAGCCGGAGGGAGCTGGAAAGCATGGGCCAGACTCACAAGGCAGGGACGGGACAGACAGATGGACCCAGCTGCCACCCCCGCCTCAGCCACGTGTCCTCCCCTGTCCCCAGGGTGGCGAGCCTGTCTGGACTGTCGATTTTCCCTTTTTAATTTATCCAAACAGCCTGCGGAGGAGCAGGAGTTTGAAATCTGTCCAAACCAAGACAGAGGCTCAGAGACAAAACAGATTCCCTGAAGTCACACAGCATTGACCAGATGGCCAGGAGGCTGGATGACTGCTTTTCTGTTTTGTGGGTTGAGGGTGTGTGAGATCTGGAACCTTTGGAAGAGGGGGTGTCCCCAAAGAGTCCTCGAAGCATATGAGGGAAGGCCACCTTCAGTCTCGCCAGCAGTCTTCCCTTCCCGCTGTGTGTCAAGGGATTGCAGGGAAGCTGTCCACAGTTCCGACCTCACAGGGTCCACCTGTGAATCTGTGTTGTTTCTGGGGCCCTAAGCAGAGGCCTATGTGTATACAGCAGGGGCTTAATGTGTGGGGAAGGAACAGATCCAGACTTTTTCTTATGCTAGGCTCCCTCAGATACCAGCACAGGGTGGGGCAGAGGATCAGGACCACAGAGCAAGTTGGAACAGAACTGGATGTGCAAGGGTAGAGACGTGTGGGCACAGAGAAACAGGAGGGGATTTCCAAGCTTCGTGAGCCTGGGCCACGGCACACAGGGAGAGATGGAGCCCCAGGCAGAGGACAGAGCTGTGCAAAGTTCCTGAGGCAGAGGACACGGCTGTGCAAAGGTCCAGGGGCAGCGGACACGGCTGTGCAAAAGGTCCAGGGGCGGAGGACACAGCTGTGCAAAGGTCCAGGGGCAGAGGACATGGCTGTGCAAAGGTCCAGGGGCAGCAGACATGGCTGTGCAAAGGTCCAGGGGCAGCGGACACGGCTGTGCAAAAGGTCCAGGGGCAGAGGACATGGCTGTGCAAAAGGTCTTAGGGAAGGATGGACCTGGTGTCTTGGAGGAGCAGCCAGGAGACCTGTATGTCTGCAGCAGAGGGATCAAGGGGCGGATAGGGAGGACCAGACAGGGCCCTGTGGGCTACAGGGAGGACAACTCTGGCTTTGACCCTGAGGGAGGAGGGAGTTAAGGTGGAACCCTGGTGGCTGGTGTCTAAATGTGGCTGCGGAGCCTGGAATTCCAGGTCCTGGCTTTGCGGCCGCCTCTCGAAGCCGACGTGGCAAAAGACAAACTTGGCAGCAGCCCTGTAGCAAACGGGGCCAAAGCCACGGCCCTGCTGGAAGCCAGGGCCTCCCGGGCCCCAAGATGCATGTGCGGCGGGGCTGGGTGGAAACTCTAGACTCCCCTTCTCCCGCCAAGTTTTAAATAAGTGGAATGATGGTTTCTGGCAAGTTCCGCTTCCTCCGTCTGAGACACGAGTTAGGTATGCCTGGCTGTCCAGAGCCACAGACAGAAGGTTTTTTTTTAATTGCGGTAACATACAGAGCCTGAAACTGACCGTTCTTAGTGTGCAGAGCCCTGCTCATTCACACGGCTGCGTGACCCCGCCGGTCAACTACAGAACTTTCTACCTTCCCATGAGCAGTCACCCATCCCCCCAAGCCCTCATGAGTCCACTTCCTGTCTCTGGATTTGCCTGTTCTGGACATTTCCTGTCATGGAACCCCTCCACCACGTGGGCTTTGTGTTTGGGTCTGTCACTGATCCTGAAATCCTCTAGGTCTCTCTGTGCTGTGGTATATGTATAGCCTCATTCCTTTCCTGGCTGAGTAATACTCCACTTAGTACGTTGTTCCTTCCTGGCTGGTGTGAATTGTGGTGTGTATCCCTACTTTCAAATATCTGGGGCACTACCTGAATGGAGTCGATGGGTCATATGGCCATCTTTCATGGTCCTTATCACATCTGAAACCTCTGCCCCAGGACTGTTCCACAGCCGTGTCCTCTGCCCCGGGACCTTTGCACAGCTGTCTTTTACCCTGGGAGCTTTGCTCTCCCTGTGGCTTTTGACAGGCTGTATTCTGTGTGGACCGTGTTCTGCATAGACCCCTTTCCCCCATCCCCTTCACACTACCGTTACACATGCCCCCAAAGCCTTCTCTGTCCCTTCAGCCAGATTCCTGCCCTAGGAGAAAGGGGGGCTCTGAGAATTCAGGCTGCCCTGTGTACGCTGCTCCATCCTGATTCTTGGACATTTTCTCAGTTATCACTAAACACCTGTCCAGGCCTCTGCCCTCCAAACAGCATAAGCTGAGTCTCTGGGATGAAGGGAAATGTCATCCCTGAGGAGGAAGGGCGTGGTCAGCGGCTGCTGGGCCTTTGTCCTGCACTGACCAAACCCCGACTCATGGCCACAGACAGGATAGAACAGTTTGTACTGTCCGTTCGTGGCACCCAGCTGAATTGCTATTGTAGCTCTGACCGTGTTTGTTTGAACAGGGCTGGAAGGAGGGGTGACATTCCTGAAGGCACATGAGCACCATGGGAACCTGGGAAGTTGGGCTGTTGACGGTGGTGTCCCCCACAGATCCACCTGCTGCTGGGCGGCACAGTCTCACTTTTACTAGAATGAGCATGGTTGTCTTTGCCCCATGGAGCTTAAAGGGCTTTGTGTGTTTCTCTGGAGAAGAGATGTTGGGAGAGGGAGAGCAAGGGGACTAGAGACAGAGGGCTTAGGTCCGCGTGTTCTAGGCAGAGGCACAGACCTGCAAAGTTCTAGGGCAGGATGAACCCTGTTGTGTTGCAGGATTATGGCTCAGTGGTAGAGCCTATGCCTAGAATCCCCAGTGAGGGGCTGAGGGCGTGGCTCGGGGTAGAGTGACAGCCTAGGATCCCCCATGAGGGGCTGGGGGCGTGGCTTGGGGTAGAGTGACAGCCTAGAGCCCCTCAGAGAGGGAACACTGGCACCAGTGCTGGTTCCCAACAGAGGTTGTCCACACGTGGCTAACGGTGGTCCACTCCTGCAGGGCATTTCCTGGGCTGATAGAGCCAATCGGAGAGTGCCTGTGCCCATGCACTGTTCCCCTGTGTGGGCAAACTAAGGCACAGGGTCTAGCCTGGGCTGCTTAGAGCATCCTGTGTTCCTTGCCTGTGGAGACACAGATGTCGACAGCTCCATGTGTGCTCAATGCATGACTGCTGGCTGTATCATTTTGAGGAAACTGAGGCCTGCAGCGCTCAGAGCCAGGTCTGGGCTCAGCAGCCACAAGGCAGGTCCACTGCAATGTGGACACACAGGCCTGCCTTGTCCCAGCCCTGGACCCTGTGCACCTTGCAGCCGGGCCCAGTGCTGACATCAGCGTCTGTCAGCCTCCCACAGGCGCTGTCTGCAGAGGAAGGAATTATTTTTAGATAAAATGGAGGGCAAATGCTGGAGAGGGGAGCCCCCAGTCTGGCTGACTGGCCTGTTATCCCAGCACCCAGGAGGTAGAGGCCAGAGGATCAGGAGCTCAGGGTCATCCTTGGCTACATAAGGAGTTGCGGGCCAGCCTGGGCCAAATGAGACGCGAGAAAGGGGGGGGGACCAAGACCAAGGTCTCCATAAGTGGGTGTCAGGCCCCATCCTCCTCATCCTCAGTTTCCCCACCTGTAACATGGGCAGGATGAGGAGGAACTGGTAGCTTTATCCTCATTTCACACACACAAGGCACAGAGAAGGCAAGTCACTTACCCAAAGCCACACAGCACAAGAGCAGCAGAGCTGGGACTTGAACCCAGATCCATTAAGACTCAAGGTGCCCGAGTTCTCACTAAGCTTGGTGAGGCCACACCTCACGCTGGTGTTTCAGGGCCCACAGGTAGTAGACACAGAACAGCCCAGTCAATTGGACACCTAACGCACAGTACACCTTTGGGTTTGTAGGATGAGTGTCAAGCAGATGCCTCATCTGCATTTGGACCTATGTCGCCATGTCACCAACTCTCTTGTCCTCTCTTTGCAGACACAGAGCAGAGCAACAGTCCCCGGACAGGGATGGGCTCCGATCAGGAGGACAGCAAACCCATCACTTTGGGTAAGTGCATGAGGCTGGAAGACAGGCAGGACCAGCCGTTGGCTGGTATGGGCTGGTATATACATATCATTTGCTGAGCTGGGAGTATAGGGGTGGGGAGGGTCAGAAAGCTGAGGCAGGAGGATTGGATTCAAGGGCAGCCTGGGAAACTTAGTGAGACTCTGCCTCAAAAGTACACAGAGGCTGGGGGCGTGGCTCAGGGTAGAGTGACAGCCTAGAATCCCCAGTGAGGGGCTGGGGGCGTGGCTCGGGGTAGAGTGACAGCCTAGAATCCCCAGTGAGGAGGGGCTGGGGGCGTGGCTCAGGGTAGAGTGACAGCCTAGAGTCCCCAGTGAGGGGCTGGGGGCGTGGCTCAGGGTAGAGTGACAGCCTAGAGACCCTAGTGAGGGGGCTTAAGCAGACAAAGAGCCTGGCCATAAGAAGAAGAAGGAGGACTAGGAAGGGAAGGAAGGAAGAAGGAAAAGCTGTTCCAGGTCGGCCTCCTTGCCCTGGTTGGAGGCACAGACACAGGCATCCAGGCGTGGCTCGTGGTCCGCGGCTCCTCCCTCACTGGGTGCCTCTCATCCTCAGCCTGTGACCTGGTGTCCTCCCTTTAGGCAGATGTTAGTGGCAGGCCTGGCCAGCAGGGCCCGGGGAGGAATCTCAGGGAGTCCCCCACCCCAGACGGCTGCAGGGCCTGGGCGCAAACAGGAAATCCCAGTGGGAGGGACGGAGGGCGGAGGGGCTCCCCGCCACCAGCTGGCCAGCTGGGTCAGCAGGAAACGCTCTGGCCACTTCCCCTGGACACTGGAGGGCCGCCGCCCTGCCCTTCTAGACATCTCACATCCCTGAGTGTCCTGGCTCAGGAACAGGCTCGCAGCCGTTGCTCACTGATGCGTGTAGGGGAAGCCCTTGGGGCGAGGCAGCTGGGGACCTGGACCTATGGTGACGGCTGCCCGTCCCGTGCTGCCCCCTGAGGGCCAGCAGAGAAACTGTTCCCCACACCAGTCCAGCCCAGAGCTGCCTGTCTGTCCCACCTCTGCTCTGCTGTCGCTCCCCAGCAGCCCTTTTCTGTTCCACCCGGTGGGTTTCCATGTCCACCCCCAGGGCCTTTGTGCTGGCTGTTCCATCGTGTTTTTCCAGTGTACCAGCCAATGACACTAAATACATTCTACTTCCAGAACCTTCCATCACCCCCAAAGGGCCCTCTCCCACCCCATGAACTGTCATGCCATTTCCCCTCCAGGCCCTGGTGCTCATGAACCTGCTTCCTGTCTCTGTATTCCTCTGCTCTCACCATTTCCTGTCATAGAGTCCCACACTCTTTTGTGTTTGGGTCACTCACTAAGCTTGATGTCCCTGGGGGTCCCTTTATGCTGTTCTGTTTCAAAGTCTCCACCTCCATCTTGTTCAGGGCTGTGTGATACTTCAGTGTGTGAACTGTCCCACTGTCTCCCCACCACCATGTCAGTGCCCAGCTAGACCTATAAGGTCCAGGGGCTCTGCCAACACTTGTGTGGACAGATTTCCCCCAGTGAGGGCCCCTGGGACAGAACAGAGTTGTCCTTGGCTGTCTGAGGTTTTGTCTTAGGGTTGGCCTCAGTTCCACACCCATAAAATGGTCTGCATCCCCACAGCCTAGAGAGGTGGGTTCCCTGCCCCAGGGCACTGGGGAGACAAGGTTCTGGGGACTCCAGGACTCTGTAGCCTGTGACCTTCCACACTCTGTCTGGTGAGGCCCATACTCTGCTCTGGGTGCTGGAGGGGGAACCACAGTCCTGGCAGACTGGCATGCTTCCTCATGGAGAGCCTCCAGGCTGAAGGAGAAAAGAGCAAGAATCAGTGTCAGGGGGAGAGATGCACAGCCAGCCAGCAGGATCCTCCCAAGAGGTCCCTATCTCCCCAACTTTTATATCTGGGAACATCAAGGCTCAGGGAGAGACAATAACTTGCCCAAAGACACACAGTAAGGAAGCTTCAGTGGAGATTCGAACCAGACCCAGCCACCAGCAAGTGTCACATGCCACTGTGCATGGCATGTTGGGGCTGGAGAGGTGTCACGCTGGGCCACAGGGGACTTCCCTGTCCACTGGTGGATGTTGTGACACCCCCCCCCGGCTCCAGCCAGGTCCAGATGCTCAGGGGGTGCCAGGTAGCGAGGTTGGGGACAGCAGCTCAGCACCCTGCTGACTCCAACTCTGCCCTCCATCCAGACTCCACCGACTTCCAGGAGAGCTTCGTCACCTCGGGCGTGTTCAGCGTCACGGAGCTGATCCAGGTGTCCCGGAGTGAGTGTCCCAGGGCCAGAGGCACTCAGGGGAGGACACTGCCACCCCAGGCCTGGGAGGGAAGTGTCCCACCCTTCCCAAGTCCGCAGGGCTCGGGTGCCCCATGCCCCACCCCTCCCAACACCCCTACCCTTCAGAGCCTCACACCCCCCCTTGTCCACCACCCTCCTCAGCTCCTGTGGTCACAGGAACCGGACCCAACTTCTCTCTGGGAGAGCTGCAGGGCCACCTGGCCTACGATCTGAACCCGGCCAGCACGAGCATGAGGAGAACCCTACCTAGCACCTCTTCCAGCGGGTAGGTGCCCGCTGCTCGCCGCGGAACACCCATTAATACCTGGGCTCATAAACTTCTATTCCTCCTTCAAAACCCAAGCCATGGTGCCCCTTCCCCCGGCCCTGATAGCCACAAGCTCAGCCCCAAGCGCTGGATCCCCTGAAAAGGCAGGCACAGGTTCTTCCCAGAAATGCATAGGACCGTGAGTCACATGGCGTGCCTCAGTTTTCCCATATGTAAAATGGGTCATAACCCTGGGTTTTAGATTCCACCCTTCTAGGTCAAGGTCAGTCACAGACTGACCTAGGTGTCCAGTCCAAACACTGACTGAACCTCAGTGGGTCCCTTGATATCACCTCCTTCGCCCCTCCCCTTATGAGCCGGAAGTCAGCCCATGTCGCCATGGTAACTGGCCTCTTTCCCCCCTACCCTCACTCCTTAGGAGCAAGCGGCACAAATCGGGCTCCATGGAGGAGGACGTGGACACGAGCCCCGGCGGCGACTACTACACCTCGCCCAGCTCTCCCACGAGTAGCAGCCGCAACTGGACGGAGGATATGGAAGGAGGTAGGGCCTGGAGGCGGGGGAAGCCAAGAGACAGTCATCGAGACCACAAATCCCAGCGGCCTTTGCGCGAGAGCCAGGGGCAAGAGCTCCGCCTAGTATCGCAGTGCCTCCTGGGAATTGTAGTCTTTCTGCGGGTTACTGCTACCTAAACTACAAACCCCAGCAGGTGCTGCTTGGGCGCCGTGGTTTAAAAGCCGACCCAGAGTCGCCGGGCGTCCTGGCAGTTGTAGTCTCGCTGTATTTGAGTGTTTGGGAGTTAAGTCCGGACACAACATGTTAGTGTACCTCTTTGGTTCCGCCTACCAGATTCTCCTATTCCCACCTGACTCGGGTGTCTTCCCTAGAATCCATCATTAGGGACCCTGCTTGTCCTCTTCTGTACTTGAGGGGGGTCAGGAAAGGGTGTGGAAGGTGGCCTGTGGGTTCTAGCACCCCAGATCTTAGAGCCATATGTAGTCCTGGGGGGTTCACCCCATTGGGGCACCAGCAGAGTCCAACTGGTTAGGTACTTTCTAGGTCCCCCCATCCACTGGAGCCTCAGTTTCCCCATTTGTACAATAGAGATGGTCACTACTGAAAGATCCTTCTAGAAGCATAGCAAGCCCCCTCCCAAAGGGTAAATTCAGTTGTTGGTGAGACCCAGGTGCAAATCCCAGCTGTGTATGGTATGTGATGTCAGGCAGGTGAAGCCATCTCTCTGATCTTGATTTGTGTCCAAGATGGGGTCAGGAGAAGCACTCTATCTCTGACATCTTTCATATGGGAAGTGATGGGAGACAGATGAACATAGGTTTACTTGTGTCTTCATGAAATTCCTGTGGCTTTGACAAGGATCTGGTCCCAGCTACCTGCCGATCATGGTGTGGGGTGTCAAGGCAGGGACCCCCCTACTCAGTGCACTTGTTTCTGTGTTCTGGGCTTGGGCTGATGTGTTCTTGTTACCTTGCTTGGGTCAGCTTTGAGTTCCTATGCCTGTGGTTGCTGGAGAGTAGACAGGGCTCCTCCTTAATCAGCTCAGTGGCCTTAATAAGATGCGAATCAGGGACCTGTCTAGACAAGAAGGGGGAGGGGAGCAAGAAAGCCACTTGTCCCCAGGGGATCCTGTAACTACCAAGCCTGGGGGTGCCCACACAGACCCCAGCAGTTACCATGACAGGCTGAGCACACTCCCCCTCCTAACTGAGCTGGCTCTCATGTGCCCTGTCTCCAAAGGCCCTGGAGGAGTCCGTGAGGAGCTATGAGAGCCATGGGTGCTGTTTCTTGGAGTCTGCCCTCGGTCCCCCCAGCCTGTGTCCTCTGTGTCACCTGTTCAGCCCCCGTGTGTGTCCTCATGGGAGACAGGTGTCTGTTTGTCCCTAGGCCCCGGCCACCCCACCTATGAAATGTAGAATGCTAATGGCAGAAGGGGTGACTGCCAGGTGTGATCACACATACCCATCACCCCAGCACTCAGGAGGCTGAGGTAGGGGGATTGTTGTAAGTTGGAGGTTAGCCTGAGCCATATAGTTCTGGGCCAGCCTGCAAGGCCAGCACCCCAAACCCTGCATGTAGCTCCAAGCAGGGGACCCTGCCCTGTAGGGGCCTTCGAGACCCTATATGTCAGAGGCTCACTCCTATTCATGGCTGTGTAGTACTCCAGTGTGTGTCAGAGCCTCACTCCTATTCATGGCTGAGCAGTATTCTACTCTCCCACCACAGCAGTCAACCTCATCCCCTCCCCAGCCCTGTCCCTGATAACCTTGAGCTTCTGGTGGATGTGGGTGGCATGGCTCACTGCTCCTCAGAGACCTGAGATTCCAGTCTTTCCCCCACAGGCATCTCATCCCCTGTCAAAAAGACAGAAATGGACAAGTCTCCGTTCAACAGCCCATCCCCCCAGGACTCACCCCGGCTCTCAAGCTTCACCCAGCACCACAGGCCGGTCATCGCAGTGCACAGTGGTGAGTGCCCAGCAGCCCCGGGCAGGGAGGAAGAACTGCACCTCTGATGGGAGACCCTGCCATGGCCAGGGAAGTCCTGCCAGCCAGATATCTGACCCTGGGTCCTATTGCTGTAGCCTTCCAGCCAGGAAAAAACTACTTAGTGTACAGTGGTGAAGATGGCCTGTCCCAGGGTGAGATAAACTGGGGAGTTCCCAACATCATCCTGATCACCCTGTTAAACAGTGAGGGCCAGGAGTCAGCAGACTGCAGCCCTCCAGTTGTTTGTTCATATGAATAAAGTTTTATTGGCACACAGCCCCCAGCCAGCCACTTCATTATCACTCTGTCTGCTTCAAACTAAATTGGCCATATTGAATGACCAAAGAGGCCCTGTGACCAGCAGAGCCACCCATATGTACCATCAGCTCAGGGGCTAGGAAGGGACGAGAGTGGTAGCTGCAGAAAGGTGACATTCTGGAAGTTACTTTGCAAATATGGCATTGGAGTACTACTCAGTCATGATCAAGAGCAAGGCTCTGACACACACTAGAGTACTACATAACCATGAATAGGAGTGAAGCTCCAACACACCCCACAATGTAGAGAGACTTCAGGGACACTGCAGTCAGTGAGTGACCCAGACACCACTGTTGTAGAACTCCGCAACAGGAACTTTCCAAAACAGGAGAATCCAGAGACAGGAAGTGAATGAGTGGGGGCTAGGAGGCCACTGGGTGGTCAGTCAGAAGCATAACTAAGAAAATACTGAAAATGTTGCCGGCATGGTGGTGCATAACTTTAATCCCAGCACTCGGGAGGCAGAGGCAGGCGGATCTCTGTGAGTTCAAGGCCAGCCTGGTCTACATAGTGAGTTCCAGGACAGCTGGGGCTACAGGGAGATACTGTCTCAAAAAGACAGAAAAAAAAAAAAAAAAAAAAAAGTTCACTATGGAACTAAAAAGGTGGTTTAGGGTCCTTTTTCTCTGTCTCAACTCTGCTTCAGTCAAACCCCCCCCCAAAAAAAAAAAAGAAAAGAAAAAAAAGAAAATACTGAAAATTATCAAATTGTACACTTTTTTTTTTTTATCAGACAGGGTTTTATGCTGCAGCTCAGGCTGACCTCAAACACATAGCAATCCTCCTGCCTCAGCCTTCCAAGTGCCAGGATGACAGGCATGTATCACCATGACTAGTTTATGCATTATTGGGGATGGAACCCAGGACTTTGCATATGCCAGGTGACCACTGTACCAACTGAGCTACAAGCACTTTACCCATTGAGCCCAGCCCCAGGCCCTGTATTTTGATTTATTTAAATTTTGCTATCTGATGTCTTTGTGGAAAGAGCTTGCTGGTGCTCAGGGCTACAGTTGCGTGACTCCCGGCTCTGCTGTTCTGTTCTGTGTGAGGCTTGAGTTGCAGATCCTCTGATGGCCTCAGAGAAGTAGGAACAAGTACTCAGACTGGTAGTGCACAGCTGTCATCACAGCGCTCAGGAGGTGGAGGCAGGAGGATCAGGAATTCAGGGTCAGCCTGGGCTATGTGAGACCCTGTGTAAAACAAAAAGCCAAACCGTTCTGGTTTTCAGATGGGAGCCACACCCCTGATCATGCAATGAGGTATTTGCGTCACACAGGCCTCCTGACCACGACCCCTCGCTCTGTCTGTCTGCAGGAATCGCCCGGAGTCCCCACCCATCCTCAGCTCTCCATTTCCCTACCACATCCATCCTGCCCCAAACAGCCTCTACCTACTTTCCGCACACGGCCATCCGGTACCCACCGCATCTCAATCCCCAGGACCCACTCAAAGATCTCGTCTCACTGGCCTGTGACCCAGCCAGCCAGCAGCCCGGACCGGTGAGTGTGATAGACACATAGCTTCACATGGCCTCATGCAGCCCAGTGGCTGTAGGGAATCCGCACATAGAAATCCAATCTTCATAAGTGCCCCCACCAAGCAAAGTAACCAGAGTTGGTTCAAACTGGTTTGTGCCAAAAACAAAATGTGTTTGGAGTTTAGAGCACTCAGGAGGCTGAGGCAGGAGGATGGCCACGAGTTTGAGGTCAGCCTAGACTACAGAGCAAAGCCCTGTCTGAAGACCAACTCTGCAGGAGAAAAAGTGTTTGGGTTTGAATCTTTGGGGGAGAATTAGGGAAATAACGTGAGTGTTCAGCACAGTGAGTCACTGCCGGAAAGGAACTGTGTGCGCAGACGGCTTGAGGAGGTGGTGTGAGACCCCAACGGTGCTGGGCTTTCAGGTGACACCTCTGAGCAGGTGTTCCCAGGAGGACAGTCCTAGGTCCCCCTCCCCACAGCCCGTCTCCCACCCAGTGTGTCTTCCCAAATCCAAACTGAACCTGATGAGCCAGGGAGCCACAAGAATATGGTCCCCAGGAGCTGGAGAGCTGGCTCAGTGTTTAAGAGCACTGGCTACTCTTGCAGAGGACCCAGATTCAGTTCCCAGCATCCACATGCTGGCTAACAACCATCCATAACTCCAGTTCCAGGTGATCTGATGCCCTCTTCTAGCCTCTGACAGCATTGTACTACACAGGTGCACTTAACACACATGCAGACAATACACTCATACACATAAAATAAAAATAATAAATAAAATATTTTTTTAAAAAGAATACAGCCCCCAGCTGGGCATGGTGGCGCACACCTTTAATCCCAGCACTCGGGAGGCAGAGGCAGGCGGATCTCTGTGAGTTCAAGGCCAGCCTGGTCTACATAGTGAGTTCCAGGACAGCTGGGGCTACAGGGAGACCCTGTCTCAAAAAGACCAAAAAAAAAAAAAAAGAAGAAAAAAAAAGAATACAGCCCCCAAACCAGCCCTGGGTTTAAATATTGCTTCCCCCAGAGCTCACATCCTGTGTGACTACAGACAAATGCCTTTGCCTCTCTGAGCCTCAGTTTTTACAGCTGTAAAATGGGTTCATCTGTGCCTCATGGGCAGGGCAGGGGGAAGCAAGCCTGCACTGTAGACGAGGGACATAGAGCCTTGAGCCAGGCACCAAGCACAGGTCTATGTCCTGTCTGCTCTGACTGTCCTATGAGCAATCTGTGTGGTAGGGAATCACGACAGGGCTTGTTGGAGACAGTCCCCTGAGATATTGGTGGGACCAGTGAGGGGCTGGGGCCGTGGCTCAGGGACCCCCTTCCTTTCCAGCCCCAAACTCCACTAGCCGATCTCTGACCATCCCTGGTGGGATGGGAATCTTGGGTCCTTTGTCTCAGCTTATACGCTCCCAGACAAGATGCAATGGGTAAGATTAAAATATACATAGATGGCTCTGGCATTGTGGCACAGGCCTGTCACCCCAGCACTCAGGAGTCTGAGGCAGGAGGATGGCTGCAGATTCAAGGCCAGCCTGGGCTACAGAGCAAGACTCCATCTCAAAAAATAAAAATTTAGAAAACCCAAAAAGCCAGTCAGGTGACAGATAGATGTGTGTGCAGACATCCCAGCCCCACGCTCTCTCCAAGAGCAAAATTAATAAATAAAATATCCTTAATAATTGATAGCAGCTTGCGCAGAATGCAGGCAAGACCCTGAATAATTTACAGATAGCCTTTGATTTATGAATGTTTTATTCTTTATCTACTTTGCTATCCAGGGACCCCTCAAGTTGAGATCCTCGGGCCCCCTAGGGCACCCAGGCTTCTTGGGGTGCCCAGATTAGCCCCGGGGGGGGGGGACAGTGAGGGCTGCAGTTCTCAGGCTCTTAGAGCTGAGTACAAAGGCAATGCTGTGTGACCCCCGGGCAGTAGACACCCCTCTCTGGGCAGCAGACACCCCTCTCTGGGCCGGGCGCTAATGGGCTCTCGGTCTCTCTCCCACAGCCGACTCTCCGCCCGGCTCGTCCCCTGCAAACGGTTCCTTTGTGGGATTAGGATCCAGGGATCCACATGCAGGCACAGGTAGGGGCCAAGAGGCCGGCTGGGGGGCTGGGGTCAGGGCAGAGGGGCCGGCCTGGGGGGTCAGGGACAGCAGGCCTGCAAGCTGGCACCAAGCCAGCCTCTCATCCCACCCGGGCCTTGAGCCCGCCCCCACTGGCTCCAGGGTCCCAGGGGTGTGAGCTGACCCTCCTCCCTGTCTGCCACTTTTTATTCTGGTCCCCCATCTAACCACAGCTTGTAGCAAGCTGCCCACTGGCCCATGTGCCTAGATGGGGAACCTGAGGCCCAGAGAGGGGACGGAGTTCACCCAGGGTCACACAGCATGCATGGAGCCAGGATGCCAGGACTTCTCCCCTGTGTCCCCAGATTCCTCCCCTAGAGTGTCAGGGAGAACGAGGAGGACAGGGAGGCTGAAAACAGGCCAGGTGGAAGAAACAGCAAGTTCAGGCTCAGAGAAGGCAAGTGAACTGCCCATGATTGCACAGCATTGGGAGACCACGGGTATCCAGTCCCTCTGCGGCTCCCTTGGGGACCCTGCCAAGCTGTCCAGGTTGCTGTTGGCTCTTCAGGGAGCCTTGCATGTGACTTCAAAGCCAGGAGCCCAGAGGTCAGGAGAGCAAGGCAAGAGGCAAACCAACTGCCTCCCCCACTCTGAGCCTCTGTCTCTTCCTTGAGCCTTGACCACCTCCCAGGAAGCCTTCAAAGGAGACAAAAAAGCCAGGGCTCCCCCCATGTACTCAGTAGTAGCTTGGTCAAGGTCTCCCAGGCAGCTCAAAGATCACCTTTCCCCCTTCCGTGCTGGTCCCAGGCCTGGAGCCTCAACCTCCCTAATCCTCCCTCCCTCCCTCTCCTTTAACATCCCCTCCCTCCTGGTGATGATGCAACTCCCATAACAGAGAAACTGAGGCAGGAGACCATAGGGGCTCCATCCACACCTCCTCTTCATCAGCTGGATATCTGGGGGCTTCACCTTGAGGGTGTAGGAGCCACAGCCGACTGTAGAGTCGGGGACAGAGAACACCGGAAAAGACTTGCAGAAACAGAGAAGGGGGAGATGGCAGGTTGTGGAGATGACGCCCCCAAGGATTGTGGGGTGGCCGGGGGAAGAGGAGGCAGGCCCATGAGTGGCTCCCCCTCCTCCAAACCCCTGGCTGCCTGGGCATTCTGGGCCTCAGCTCAGTAATCTCCGCCCTGTCAGCACTTCCTGGCCTTATTATTCCTGGCTCGGGCCTCCCCTACCCCCAGGCCAGCCCCCACCCCACAATCATTACCATCAACCAGTGCTCACCTGCCCCGAGGGCCTGCATCTGTCCCTGGAGTCCCCCCAACATACCACCAGACCCCATTCCAAGCATATAAATAAATTGGGGTCTAAGGGTTAAGCCCTCCGACGCTGCTTTAGTTCCCCCCTCCCAGCGCCAGGCAGACTCGGGTCCTCTCCAGGGAGGCAGAAGGCCGCAGTCCACCACTCCAGGGTAGGGTCACGCCCAGAGCCTGTCTGGTTGCCAGGGAAACCAGACATGAGGTAATGGCCAGATGAACTTGAACTTGGCTGTAGACAGGGGCTTGGGGGGCTGGGAGCCAGGGCAGTGGCTGAAGAGGACATGTCCTTTTACAGCGACCACCTGGAGGGTCTCAGACCCCCCCCAGGGCAGGTGGGTACAGAAGGTGGACACGGGCCAGGACTCAGGACTCAGCTGAGGCTCAGACTGAGCGCTGGGCCCTGGAAGTGGGGTAGGAAGTGAATCTGGAGCCAGATGGACTAAGTGTGACTCCTACCTACCAGCAGCGTGCTGGTTTACCTTGACCTCTCTGAGCTTCCGTCTTCATGCCATGGGCCAGCAAGGAGTGTTGTGGAAGGTCAGGGGATTAGTGCTCTTGCAGAGGACCCGGGTTCGATTCCCAGCACCCACATGGCAGCTACAAACCGTCCTTAACTCCAGTTCCAGGGAAATCTGAAGCCCTCTTCTGACCTCTGCAGCATTGCAGAACAGGGGTGCACTCACATACATGCAGGCAATACACTCATACACATAAAAAAATAAATAAATAAATACACACACGCTGCATAGCTTGCTCAGCGGTTAAGAGCACCAGCTGCTCTTGCAGGGGACCTGGGTTTGGTTCCCAGCATCCACATGGTGGCTAACAACAGTCCAGAATTCAAGTTCCAGGGTATCCGATGCCCTCTTCTGGCCTCTGTGGACATTGCATGAACATCCTGTACTTCTGTGCAGGCAAAACTCACATAAAATAAAAAATAATTAATTAATTAAAAAATTATAAATCCAGCATGGTGACCCTGGCTGGTCATTGCAGCACTTAAGAAACTGTAGCAGGACAGACTATAGCCAGCCGGGCTGCAGGGGAAGTTGTAGCACAGCCTATATACTGAGGCGCATCATCCCCAAAGCCTCCTGCACACCCCAGCTTCATAGGTTCAATAAAGAAGTCCTGTGGCTGGGTGCCAGTTATCAAATGACAGTTAAGGGCTGTCACCATATCTGAACATTAGCTGGACTATGCTTTTAGTGTGATTCCTTCACTAAGGTTATGCTGGATATACTTATCCCCAATCCCTGAAGTAGCACAGGATAGACTTATCCCCAGATCCCTGAGTTTGCACAGGATAGACTTACAGCAAGTCCCTAAGCTTGCGTGGGATCCACTTACACTAACAACTCTTCATCTATCTGAAAGGGCAGAATTGAGATTTCATGATGCAGCCTGTTTTCTCTGGCATCTTGTTCAGAGGCCAGGGTCATGTAGCTGGTTTTTATGGTCTGGGATACAGGCCTCCAAGGTCACAGGTGCTGTGGGGATGGGAAAAGACAGCCAAAGTCCATGTAGATCCTGACTCTCTTCTCTCTCTCCCTCCCTCCCTCCCTCCCCGTCCTCCCCCCTTCGTGGGCCTCACAGTCCTGGTACCTGGGATAGCTGAGGTCCTCCTATGCCTCCTCTTATGCCTCTTCCATCGTCTGGGAGTCCCCCGGGGTAGCAGCACCGGGTCCCAGTCCACATTTTCAGTGGAAAATCAGAACGAGCAAGAAACCCCTGCTGACTCCCAGCACAACAGAAAGACGAGAGGAAAAAAGGAAAAAAAGACAAAAAACAAAAACAAAAACCTGCCCAACCAAGAAGACAAAAGGCAGAGTGAGGGTTTGAGGACTCGGCTGCCTCAGATGTGGGATTGGCGCAGAGACTAGCGCCCTCCACACCCCTCCGCCATCTTCCTCTCATGTGGCTCCTGCTGCTGATGGCCTGATGCTTGCAGCCTTCCTGTTCCCTGAGGCCCTCGCAGCCAGTCACCCACAGACCAGGTGAGCTCAGCCTGGCACCCACGCCCAGCACCAACAGATGAACAGAAGGATGGGGCAGGGCCACCCGGCCAGGCCACCTCTCCCCAGACCCCTGCTGCCAGCCACCAACGCCAGCCAGCCACGGGGACCTCATCCAGCTCTCCCCGCTGATGGTCTTTGCCAAAGACAGGAGGCTGAAGGCGGGACTGGCGCGGAAGGTGGATGGCAAGGACCCCGCAGAGGACCTCAGGGACCTCGGTGGCATTCGGGGACAAGGACAAAGGAGGGCACGTGGGGACGAGCCAGCACTGGCCCTCACGGGGCACAGACACAACACAGGTACTTTGGGACACCCCAGAGGGTCCTGCGGCCGACCTCGAACTCGCCCCTCTGGTCCCCTCACGGAGGACCTGGTCTTTGGGCCTGGTTTGAATGGACATGTCTATGCAATTTGTCCCCAGTCCCACTCCGGCATGAGAGGCCACCCCAGCCCCATCCCGTCCGGCCTGGTCCCCCGGGGACACCTCAACTTCCCCCTCCTCTTGCACACACAAAAGGATTGCACTTTGAGAAGAAGAGGATGGGGGATGGGACCTCTGTGTCCAGGTTCCCATAGTGAGATGTCCCTGCTCCCCACCGCAGCCCCTGGAGGTGGGAGGTGTCACATCCTAAGTGCCTGACCCCCTCCACCCACCGCTGCCCCTCATTATCCATCGGGGACACAGAGTGGCCGGGGCACCCCACCACCCTCAACCCCGTCGCACCCCCAGCCCCCCATCACCATGCGCCCTCCGAGCTAGAGAGATGGGACCCCCAGGGGTAGTGCTGGGTGTCCCCCAGACCCGGGTTGGGGACCCCATGCACCGCCCCCCCACCTCCTTCTGCCAGTGCCTTAATTATGGGAGACCCACCCTGGGGTACCCCACCACAGGGGTATACCCCCTTTGCACTTTGATCCCCCCCCGATGATGTGGGCCCGGCGGAGGGAACTAGAAGGCTGTGGAAGTGGGTGCACTTGAACCCCGGGTCAGGAGGGCTCTGGGGAGACAAGAGTGGCCAGGGTGGGGGCTCCCCCATCTGCTATGCGTGTTTCACTGAACTGCTCCAAAAATAACACTAAGTTGGGGACACAGGTCTGCCCCTCCATCCTGGCTCTGCTGCACCCACCCAGGTCCCTATCTCGGGTGGGCTGGTCCAGGAAGGGGCATTGGGTGTTTTAGGGTCACCAAACCCACACACATACACAAGGACCCCTCCCTGACCCCCATCATGCCTGGCGCTGTCCATGTCCCCTGCCCACCGGAGGCTACAAGCCATTATCCAAGCAGCTGCCCCCAGGGCCCTGGCCACCTGTCATCCTTTCCTGGGACCCCCCATCATCTTCTCCAGGGGGACCTCAGTGAGGTCACTCAAACATACAAAGACCCCCCCCAAGACACCTTCCCAGCCCTTGAACCCTCACCCTGTCTGTCCGTCCATCCTCGGGGACCCTCCAGAGGGAGGGGACCATTGGGGACATCGCAGGGGCCACTGTCCAGCTGCGGGGGAGGGGTCAGGCTAGGAGGGTGAGGGATGGGCTATTCCTAGGGTGGACCTGGCAGGTCCCCTCTGACCCCTCTTCAAGCCAGCCAGCCGGATCCCCAAGGGGTCAGGGTGGACAGAAACGAGTCCCTACCTAACTGCATGGTGCTTAAGGCCCTACTCTGAGTCCCTGGTGACCTCGAGGGGCCAATGCGTGCATGACAAGTTATACCCGGCTCTGTGTCCCTCACCTGCCCGACCCCCCCTTACCGCCTCTATTAAAAAAGAAAAAAAAAAGGATACACAAAAATATATACCCTTCCCCCCAAAATTTCCATATTTCCGAATTTGCACGATTTTTTACCACAAGATGTGCCTTGCCCCCGCCCCCAGAACAAATATTAACTTTTCAATATATCAGCGCACATAGACGCATGCCCTGCACGCATAGTTAAAAACAAATGATTTAATGAAATAAAAAAAAATCCAAAAGGGATGTATTTCTATTTGTAAAAAAGAAAAAAATGAACAAAAAGAATATGAGAATTTTTTATATAAAAGAGAGAGAGAGAGAGCCAGGTGTGGTGGCTCACGCCTGTGATCCCAGCCTTCGGGAGGCTGAGGCAGGAGAATTGCTGTGAGTTCCAGGTCCAGCCTGGGCTATGAAGCAAGACCCTGTCCCAAAAAAAAGAAGAAGAAGAAAAACACCCAAAAATAGAATCAAACAAAAATCAGAACGTTACTAAGTCAGAATGTCGTCCCACAGTTTGGCGACCCCGTCCTGCCACCCACCCAGGTTCCATCCCCTCACGAATTAGAGGATGGAAGCTCGGGGTCTCTCCCTGGTGCTCACCCCATACGGCCCCCAAGTCCTGCTCCATAATTTCAAGGGATCAGGTCGGAGTCCCCTGTACATTCTGGTCCCCATGCAGCTGGGATTTCCCACCTCACTGGACACAGGCCAACCACAGATGCCCGCCATGACCCCAGACAGTCCCCGCTTCATGCAGGCCTGTGTCTCCCCCTGGGTGGGGCACAAATGACCATCCCACCCCAGTGGTGACGCCCAAGTGCAGCCCTCTTTTCTCACCAAAGGACCCGCCTGTCCCCTGCGATCTCGAGGCCAGCCTGGGGTGTTCCCACTGTCCCTATCACTCCCCAAGTCCCTGTCCTCCGTCTTCCAGCCACCAACACAAAGGGCGGCCTGGTGGGAAGCAAGGATAACCCTACAAACTCGATATATGCAATATCTGTCTGTCTCTGCCTGTGGTCAAACTCTGCCTCCTGAGCCCCCAGCTGGTGGTGGGACAGCGGGGCACAGGGACAGCTAGGGACACAGTCACAGACAGGCCACCATCCCCATCGCTGAGCAAGCTCTTGTCTGTGACTTCAGTTTTTACTTTCCATTTCTTTTTCTTTCCCTTTTTTGTAGTTGTTTGTGGTTGCCTTTGGGTTTGTTTTTTTGTTTTTTGTTTGTTTTTTTTTTTTTTTGGTTTTTTGGGAGCTTTTTTTTTTTCCTGTTTTAACTGTTCTCTGTTTTAACTTTGTTCTTTTTTCTCACCAAAGCTAAGACAATAGCCAGGTGGTTAGCAGGGCAGACAGGGTCCCAGATCCTAAGCCATCTCTCCCCATGACTTTCCACTGTCTCCCAACCTGACCCTCCCACCAGGCAGCCAATTCCCACACTTCCTCCATTGTCCCATCTGAATGTAAGACATTATCAAGAGAGGTCACCCAAGGCTTATCCCAAGTCACCTCCAGAGACACACTTCAGAATGCCACAGTGGACCAAAAGGGGCCCTAGCCCACCTTACCAGTCACCTGCTGCCCCTGGTCCAAGGTGGGGATGTCCCTTGTCCCTCTGGCTGATTTTGGCCTTTTGCCCCCACCAGAGTAAAAATGTCCTCCACCCCTGGGACGTAGGGAATCTCTAGGGTGAAGGAGAGGGTGGTGTGGCCCATGAGGTACCATCTTGTTTCATGTTCATCAAAGGTGGGGCAGGGTCCCACCCTGTTCTCCACTCCTGTGTCAGGACAGTGGACAGTGTGTGCCTGGCAGCATATGGGGATGGACTGCTACCCTCTAGTGAAGCACCCCTAGCTTGACATTTGGGGTCTAACCTGTGACCCTGTTCCTCAGTTAAACAGAGGCGCTGGATGTCTTGTCCAGGGTCCTGAGTTCAGATCCAGATTCTGAGCCAAGTCCCCAACATGTTCAGTTGGACCATCAGGACCATTCAAAGGGGGCAGCTGTGAGTAGTGACAGTCACCTTGAGGGGGTTGAGCTGCAGGTCCCCCACAAAGACAACCCAGGGTCTGGATGACTCCTTCTCTCCCTCCAGGACTTTCTGTGTATTCCCAGGGACAGCGTGTCCTCAGAACAGAGCAGACATGGCTGCCCCACATGTCCCCAGTAAGACAAGGTCTTGAGTCCACCAGTGAATATACAGGGCTTGGTAAGAGACAACAGGCAGATGCTCAGCCAACACCCCAGGGTGGGCCAGGCTGTGCCATATATATATATATATACACATTTAATTTTGGAACTTTCATAGTACTGAAAAAAGTAGGTTTTTCTCTCTTGGCTCAGATAGTTCTTTGTTCTCCAGGGTGCTGGGTTCGAGACCTCTCCACTCATCCTTTTGTTGTTCTTGTTTTGATTTCTCCAGTCAGGAGGGTCTTGCCATATAGACCAGGCTGGCCACCAACTCGTGGCAATCTTCCTGCCTCAGTTTCTCAATTGCTCAGGCACCAAGTGTGCACCACCACTCCTGGCTCCCCTGACTCTCTTAGCAAACGACCCGAGCCTCTGCTCGCAAGTGTCACCACATGTGTGTCCCTCCCTCCCTCCATCCATCCATCACTAAGCAGTTCAGGAGGAAGACTCAAAGCAGGCCCACCAGATCTCGTAGCCGGTTAATACCAAAACACTCATTTTCCAATCAGTGCCTCACATCTGATGGTGCGGTTTTGGGGTCCTCCTCCCCTGTCCCTCACAGTCCCCACCTTCTGCTCCCCTCAGACTTGGGACAGGAAAGAGACTGTAGGTACACTGGGCAGAAGGACTCTGGGTGGGGAGAAGGCATGCACCCAAGCCACCACCCCGTTCCCAACACCCAGCCTCCCCCAACATGTCAGAAAGGGAATGGAGCTGGACACTCCAAAAGTCCACACCCCATCTTCCAACCTCAGATCCAAGCCAGGAAGCTGCTTCCCCCCAAACCAAAGCCCCTTTGAATCCAGGAAATCCAGCTTGAGTGCCCTACCTACCACAGCACCTGGACAGGTATCGGATCTGAGGGACTAGACAGGACAGCACAGGGTGCTCAGAAGTCACAAGAAGGAGCGAGAAAACCCATTTTCTTCTCTTCATTATTTTTCTTGTCTTTTCTTCCCTTTTCTTTTCCCCTTCATTTTTTTGGGTGGCTGTTTCATTTTACCTCTGAGATTTGGGGGGGATTCTTTCTGAGATTCTGTTTTGATTCAACCATTTCATATTTTACTCACAGTACCAGGATAGATGGTTCATTTCTTGCTGTCTGTTTAACACACACACACCTGTGCCAGTCTGTGGCCACCACCCCTCAACCCCAAGGAAGCAGGGGACTGGCGGCGGGGGGGGGTAGATCCCCTGGCAGGCCCAGGCCCAGCTTGCTCCGTCACCTGCCCCACAGCATACTCCAATCATAACATCATATATTACAAATTTTTTTTCAGATGCGCCTAAGTACTGTTGACTGCCTGTTTTGTTTGTTTCCCCTATGCAAGAAAACAAAAAAGTGAGGGGGTTCCATAAAAGATTCAATAAAAGGCAAAAAAATGTATAAAAATTAAACAAGCTAAGCTTCAACTCTTTCTGGCTGTCTTGGATCATTTTTCTGTGTCCATAAAGGTTTCTGGGTTTGATTGAAAAGGATGAGGGGCCGGGCCAGGGCTGCAGCTCAGTTGGTGGAACACTCAAATGCAAGGCCCTGGGGGCTGGAGAGATGGTTCCGCAGTTAAGAACACTGATTGTTCTTGCAGAAGACCTGGGTTCAAATTCCAACACCCACATAGCAGCTAACAACTGTCTGTAAGTCCAGTTCCAGGGAATCCAACAGCCTCTTCTGACCTCCGCAGGCACTGCATGACACGGGTGCACTTACCTATACGCAGGCAATACACACATACACATAAAATAAAAATAATAAACACCGGGCATGGTGGCACACACTTGGGAGGCAGAGGCAGGCGGATCTCTGTGAGTTCAAGGCCAGCCTGGTCTACATAGTGAGTTCCAGGACAGCTCAGGCTACAGGGAGACCCTGTCTCAAAAAGACCAAAAAATTAATTAATTAATTAATTAAAATATTTTTAAATAGATAATTTTTTTAAGTTTAAAAAAATACAGGGCTGGAGAGATAGCTCAGTGGTTAAGAACACTGGTTGTTCTTGTAGAAGACTCGGGTTCGAATCCCAGCACCCACATGGTAGCTAACAACTGTCTGTAACTCCAGTCCCAGGGGATCCGACAGCCTCTTCTGACCTCCACAGGCATTGCACAACATGGGTGCACTTACCTACATGCAGACAACACACACATACACATAAAATAAAAATAATAAGTTAAAAAAAAAAAGTTTAAAAAGTGCAAAGCCCTGTCCTCCACCCCAGGACTTTTGCATGGCGTTGTCCTCTGCCCAGGGTCTCTCTGTAGCCCCAGCTGGCCTGCAACTCACTATGTCGACCAGTCTGGTCTTGATCTCACAGAGCTCTTCCTGCCTCTGCCTCCTGAGTGCTGGGATTAAAGGTAGAAAGGCCTCATCCACTCCTACCCCCATCCCTGCAATTCTCTTGGCAAATGCCGCTCTCCTCAGCAGGGTGGGCCTCTGAACTTGACCATGAAGTCTTGGCGCCACCTTGTGTTCAGAGACTGGATCTCTGGGGAAAGACCAGGTGGAGGAGCCAGCCAGTGTCCCTCCTCCCAAACTCTACCTCTTACTGGGAGAGGGAGGATGCTGGGGGATCCTGGGGTGCCCCCTCAGCTGGGAAAGGGCCTAGCCAGGGTCAGTGTTCAGCCTACCCTGGATCTCAAGGGAAACCTCAGGATGAGGCAGTTGTTGCCTGGAGCAAAGTTCTTCCCTGTGCCCTGACTTCCCACCACAGAGTGGGGCAAGCTTGGGACAACCCAAAATGTTAGAGTGCTCCCACGGCACTGGGTTCATCCCCAGCACACCATAAACCAGGCATGGTGACACACATTTGTCATCCCGGCACTCAGGAGGAGGAGGTAGGAGGATCAGGAGCTCAGGGTCATCCTCGGCTACATAATGAGCTGGAGGCCAGCCTGGGATACATGAGACTCTGTCTCAAAGAAAAAGGAAAAAGAAATTTGAGGCTCCAGCCCTGCAGAGAGAGAGAGGGTCCCAGATCCTCTTTCCTCACACCCCAATACTGCTCTCCTCCCCAGGGGACCCCAACCCCTTACCTAAGGCCAAGAGGCACAAGCCTCCTACAGCAGAATCCAAATTCAGTGACTGTCAGGCTCCCAAGGGTCAGGGGAGGTGCTTGAGGGGAAGGAGTCCAGCAGCCAGCAGCCAGCACCCGTGTCCTTGATGTTCACTCGGACTCCTGACCCCTCCAGAGCTAGGAGAAGGGGGGTGTTGGGCTGACCATCCCTCTCCAGAATTGCTAGAATCTTTTGGGCTTTACAAAGCCCAACTTCAGAAGAGGAGCCAACGTGTGGCTCACAGGTGGTATGCCCCTTTCCCATGGCCAATCAGCATTGCATGGGAAAAGACTCTTTGGTCTCTGGACCACTACCTTGGGGGTCTGGAGAGCTGGCTCAGTGGTTAAGAGCACTGACTGCTCTTGCAGAGGACTAGGGTTCGGTTCCCAGCACCCACATGATGGCTAAAGATCGTCTGTAACTCCAGCTCCAGGGGATCCAACATCCTCTCCTGACCTCCATGGGCATTGTACACATGAATGCACTTACATGTATGCAGGGAAAACACTCATACATATTAAATGAATACAAATTTAAAACATAGAGCTGGACACAGTGGCACACGCTTCTAGTCCCGGCAATCAGGAGGCAGAGGCAGGCGGATCTCTGTGAGTATGAGGCCAGCCTGGTCTATGTAGTGAGTTCCAGGCCAGCTGGGGCTACAGGGAGACCCTGTCTCAAAAAGACCAAAACAAACAAACAGGCTTTACAAAGCCCAACTTCAGAAGAGGAGCCAACGTGTGGCTCACAGGTGGTATGCCCCTTTCCCATGGCCAATCAGCATTGCATGGGAAAAGACTCTTTGGTCTCTGGACCACTACCTTGGGGGTCTGGAGAGCTGGCTCAGTGGTTAAGAGCACTGACTGCTCTTGCAGAGGACTAGGGTTCGGTTCCCAGCACCCACATGATGGCTAAAGATCGTCTGTAACTCCAGCTCCAGGGGATCCAACATCCTCTCCTGACCTCCATGGGCATTGTACACATGAATGCACTTACATGTATGCAGGGAAAACACTCATACATATTAAATGAATACAAATTTAAAACATAGAGCTGGACACAGTGGCACACGCTTCTAGTCCCGGCAATCAGGAGGCAGAGGCAGGCGGATCTCTGTGAGTATGAGGCCAGCCTGGTCTATGTAGTGAGTTCCAGGCCAGCTGGGGCTACAGGGAGACCCTGTCTCAAAAAGACCAAAACAAACAAACAGACAAAACCATGACCTTGCCAATCCCGGCTCTGCCAAGGCCCAAGGACACCCGATTTGAGGACTGGGCTCTTCCTGGGCCCTAAAGGGACTCAGCAAAGGCAGCAAGAGGCTGACAGAGCTGCCTGCAGAGGGCAGTTAAGGACTTTTATTATTAAGGGAAGTTCTTTGGCTGTTTTTTCCCCCTGGCGGTCGATGCTGGAAGTGCTGCCAAATCAGGTAGCCAGGTAAAGACAGGAAAAGTAAGGAGGTGCACAGTGCCTGTGCAGAGACGTCCACCAAGCTACGAAGAAACAGGAGGAACCAGAGTCAGACAGGGACTGGATCATGTGATGCCCAAAGAGGGAGCCTGATGAACTGATGAACAAGTAGATGGATGGGTGGGTAAAGAGACAGGGGAGTAGATGGGTGGGTGGATGGATGGATGGATGGATGGATGGATGGGTGGATGAATGGACAGATGGATGATGAATGGATGGATGGGCAGATGGATGAATGGACAGATAGTTGGATGGACAGACAGATGGATGGGTGGGTGGATGTCAGAACGAGCCTCCTCCTCATTTAGGGATGCTATCAGATCCCAGGCAACAGTGCTCTGGCTCAGTTGCTAGCTCTGGTTAAGGGTGTGAATGGAGCCTCTCCAGGCGGCAGGAAGTGTCACAGGGCTGTCTTCTTGGCTGTCTCATCGTCTGAGGATCCCTTCTCTTCAAGCTCCAAGCCCTGGTTGCTCTCTCCAGCCTTCCCGTCTCCTTTCTTTTTCTTCTTCTTCTCCATCTTATCTTTTTTACTGTAGGGACATAGAGTTCACAGACAATCATAAACTGTCACCTGTGCAGGCCATATAAGGAGATTCTCACAGTTCAGTTAGTCTCGGTGGTGCAGCTGGACAGGCAACATGCCCACTCCATGAAGCTGGAAAGAGCCCTCCACTTGGCTGTGGACGACTGGGTTGGAGGGATGATGAATGAACAGGTGGGTGGACGATGGATGAATAAATGGATGTGTGGATGGAAGAGTGGATGATGGTTTGGTAGATGGGTGAATGAGTAGATGGATGGTGGCTGAATGGACAGATGGATGGGTGGGTGGGTGGGTGGGTGGATGCATGGGTAGGTGGACAAATGGGTGGGTTAGTGGGTGGATGAATGGATGGATGGGTGGATGGATGGACGGATTGGTAAATGGGTGAGTAGATGGATGATGGGTGAATGGACAGATGGATGGGTGGGCAGGTAGGTGGACGGGTGGGTGGGTGGAAAGATGGGTAGATGGATGGGTAGATGGGTGGTTGGATGGATGGATGGATGGGTGGATGAGTGGATGGATGATAGATGGGTGGGTGGGTGGATGGATGGGTGGACAGATGAGTAGATGGGAGGATGGATGGATAGATGGATGAATGGCTGGTTGGATGGATGGGCAGAGCTAGTGTGGATGATAAATCAGTGGAGATGATATCCCTCATGGTTCTGATGTCTGCTGTCCTGTGTCTCCTGGCATGGGGAGCTCACTTCTGTTTGTGAGGCAGGCTGTGGTCTGACCATCTCCTCACTCAGGTTTGTTACAACTCAATTCTGTCTTCCCAGCTGTCTGATCCCTGTCATGTTGTGCCCATCCATGTCATCCCCCACCACCCCACTCTTCCCCCTCTCCACTCCTGTCCCATTCTTGGTTCCTTAGCAGCCATTAGGCATCCAGGGACAGGAGATGCTGCTTGTGCATTCTGTCCAGGGCGGGGTCCCTCACAGTTAGGGCAGCGGTGACCCACACCCTGTACCTGGGGTCCACGTCCTGGTACACGTTTGGCTGCATGCTGTGTGTGGCCTCTTCATCCTCGGCCCTGTACGTGTGAACAGGGTTGTCGTGAGAGGTTGATGTCCTCTGTGCCTCAGTTTCCCCACACTCAGCTCCTTACCCACGGGAAGCAGCAGGAATGGCTGTGAGGGGGGTGTGGCCCCAGGGTCTGGGCGTGTCAGGGTTCATGGTGGAGCAGGGAAGCGAGGGGTCCCCCAACATGGGGCAGACCTCGAGGAGGGACCACAGAGGTTCAGTAAGCTGTGGGCGAGCCTGGGGCGGCGGGGCGGAGCATCACCTGACTTTGGAGCACCAGACACGGTTGACCAGCATGAGGACGAAAACGATGAACAGGAAGCCCACGACCGCTGCCAGGCCCACCAGCCAGGGCTTCAGACGGCGCTCGGAGGCTGTGGAGGGGAGGAGGTGCGAGCGAGGGGAGGGGCCTGAGGGAGGGGAGGGGCCTGCGGAAGGGGCGGAGCCTGAGGGGGAGCGGGAAGTGTCAGAGGGTGAGGAGGTCTTAGAGGAGGGGGAAGAGGAGGGGCCTGGGGAAGTGTAAAGGGCCTAGGGGAGGGGAGGGGCTTAGAGGAAGGAGGCGGGGAGGAGGGAGGGGAGGAGGGAGAGGGAGGGTCTTGAAAGAGAGGAGTTTCCGGGAGGGGCCTTAAGGCGTGGGGTTAGAGGGATCCTTGAGGCCCCTGAGGGTCAGAGGGTCCTGAGGACGAAGGTGTGGCTGGTCAAGGAGTGGAGGAGGATCTCACAGGGGCTCAGTGGGAGTACCAGGTGGGAAAGGGGCGTGGGCTCAGCTGGAGGAGCTGAGAGAGGAAGTAGAGCTGAGAGAGGGGGTGCCTGGGAGGGAGCGCTCATCTCCCGGAGGGGCCTCCACCCTACCAAGTGAGCCACAAGCATCCTGCCAAGTGAGCTACAACCACCCAAGCCACTGAGCTACAAGCACTTCCTCTCCTTCCTATGCCTTCTCCGTGCCTCAGTTTCTACTTTTGGGAAACGGAGACATGGCTAGCCCCTACCCAGCCCGGAGTGGGCTCTGCACCCCAGTCCTACCTTGCTGGGCCTCAGCTGGCGACAGGAGCATTGCAGCCAGCAGGAGCAGCGTCCCCAGGGTGTCCATGGCCAGTGGGTTGCTGTCCAGCTGTGCTGTGAGCAACCTAGGCCCCTGGTGAGGTTAAGACAGAGGAGGAGAGGGGCGGGGACACCTGGGACTTGGGTGACCTGGCTTCTTTGGAACCGCCTGGCAGGGCGTCTCGTCCTCCTCGCATCCCGGAGGGCAGAGTCTGCAGCTGGTGGAACATTAACCACGACGGCCGCCTCCCCCACACCACTTCCTGGGGACCAGCAGCCTCACAGCAGCTGCAAGGTGGACAGACCCCTCATCCTCAGCAAGGGATCAGCTGCAGTGACCCTGGTCCCATGTGCACACATGTGGCACATGCATACACAGCCAGGTGTGGCAGTCACTCTCAGTGACTTGAAAATGCACGTGTCAGGTTCCATGTTCAGCAACTCTGTCCAGCACCCCACAGTGCTCAGCAACTTGGCTCAGCATTGCACAAAGTCACTCTGATGGGTTTTGACAGGCTAGCTCAGCACCAGGCTCCCAGGGCTGGGGTCCCTCTTGGCCACACCAGAGTCACCTGACCGCTGCCCATCTCCCAATCTGGAAACCTCAAGTGACACTGGGAATGTTCCTGCCCTCAACCTTGGGCCTCTGCTGATTAGATAATGATCTGGGCCTGAGCAAAGGGGGACCCCACCCCAGGGACAGCCACATCCCAGGCACGTGAAGGGAAAGCTAAAGAAGTCATCTAGCACTCAGGAGGCAGAGGCAAATGGATCTCTATGAGACTGAGGCCAGCCTGGGCTGCATATCGAGTTCCAGGCCAGCTGGAGCTACAAGGAGACCTTATCTCAAAAAAAAAAAAAAAAAAAAACTGGTGCTGGGGATGTGGCTCAGTTAGTACAGTGTGTTTAACTCAGTATGGTGGTCATAGCCTAGTAGGTAGTGAGTGCTTATAGCTCAGTTGGTAGAGTGCTTGCCTTGTATACACTAAGTTCAGCACCACATAAGCTGGATGTGGTGGCACATGATCACATCCTCAGTGGAGGCAAGAGGATCAGGAGTTCAAGGTTATGTTTGGCTATATACTGAGTTCCAAACCAGCCTGACCTGGTTTAAAAAAAAAAAAAGTTTTTAAATCCTAAACTAAAAGACCCAAAGCTATGGTGCAGGTGTTTAAGGGGTACCTTCTGAATACACAGTGACTTGTTTCATCGGGGATGAATGCTGGGCAAAGCATCATGGAACTGAGACACCCCAGGTCCTCTTCAATCAGTGAGGCAGGCGGACATTAATGTATGCCCCATCCTGTGCCAGGGTTGGGTTTTTGTTTTTCTTGTTTTTTGAGACAGGGCCTCCCCAGCTGGCCTGGAACTCCTTATGTAGACCAGGCTGGCCTCAATCTCACAGAGATTGCTTGTAGCTTAGTGGGTAGAGTGTTTGTAGCCCAGTGGATAGAGTGCTTGCCTAACATGCACAAGGCCCTGAGTTCAGCCCCAGCATCCCATAAACCAAGTGTGGTGGCACACACCTGTCATCCTAGTACTCAGGAGGAAGAGGAATTCTAGATCAACCTCAGCTACATAGTGAGGTCCAGGCCAGCCTGGGCTACATGAGACCATGTCTTTAAAAAAAAACAAAAACTCAGCCAGGCACAGTGGCACACACCTTTAATCCCAGTACTCAGAAGGCAGAGGCAGGTGGATCTCTGTGAGTTCAAGGCCAGCCTGGTCTACCTAGTGTGTTCCAGGATAGCTGGGGCTACAGGGAGACCCTGTCTCAAAAAGACCAAAAAAAAAAAAAAAAAAAAAAAAAACCCAAAACTCTTACTCTGGAGGCTGAGGCAGAGCTGCAAGTTTCTAGCTTGGGCTACACAACCAGATCCTGTGTCACAACAAACTTGGAGTGAAGTGAGGTTCAGCAGACACAGAGCACGTGGAAACCTTGGCAGGAGGTGGCTTTGCACCCCAGGGGGGGGTCAGTCAGGGCAGGGACCTATGTGAGCCAGTCCCAGGGGCCCAGCTCAGTGCTTCCAGGACTCCCTCTGCACAGGCGGCTCCCTGAAGGCAATGGAGGGACATCGGGGGCCCTGGGAGGGACCATTGGGGGGTATGCCCTCGCCACCCCCACAGGGGTCTTCATCCCCCCTCCAGGCCAGTGCTAGTTGGAGGTCCAGTAACTCAAGGTCCTCAGCTGCCAGGCTAGCCCGCAGCTCCCGGAGACCATCCCCCTGGTCTGGCTTCGGCCCAAAGGCCCAGTCTGCAACATGGTGGCTAGTGAGGGTGACCCTGGCCCTGCCCATCCTCCAATCCTTCCCTTGGGGGCCACATGACCAGGGTCCCCAGCCCAGATGGGGTTTGTGTGGGGTAGTGGGGCTCACCAGTCAGGTCGTGGGCAAGGTCTTTGATGAGGTGACCTACAATGGCGTAAGCCACAGCCAGGACCAGGGGAGAGCAGCCATCAGCAATTAAAGCGCATACCGTGGCAGGCGGATGGTGTCCAGGGAGGGTGGCCGGTACTCCTCGTATATCAGAGGGGCTGGACTCCCATCTTCTGCCTCCCTCTCCTCTGCCAACCCGGCTATGGTTCCACTTGCAGCAGGTGATCCTTGGGCCGAGGATTGGTGGACCTTGAGCTAAGCGGATTGAGACAACTGCCCTAGGCCACCATCTACTTGGATTAATGGTGCTGGGAACCACTGGCCCCCTCCGGAGAGGGTTTCAGCCTTACAGACCAGATTCAGATGACTCTAGGGCCTTTGCACAGCTGTGTCCTCTGGAGCAAGGTGCACAGACCATGCAAAGGCCCCAGGACAGAGGACACAGTTGTGCAAAAGCCCTGGGGCAGGATGCAGGCTGGCTATTGAAGAGCAATGATGAAGTCCCGTGGCTGGCACAAAGGGAGCAAAGGGCAGAGAGGGAAGGGGGAGGACGGGTCCTGTGGGCTGTAGGGGAGACTTGAGTTTTGATCCCTAGGGAGGAGAGAGCAGGGAGCCATGGAGGGCTGTGGGCAGAGGAATGAGCTGTTGGTGTTCAAGGGTGCTTTATGAGCCTGCTACAGAGAGGACAGGATGTTAGGGGTAGGTGCTGGACTGAGCTGTTTCAGGTTAGGCCTGGTTTCAAATGCTCTCTCAGCTGAGTGGGTAGGATGCTGGAGTTATGTCCCAGGACCCAACACTGGACTTGGTTCTAAAAGCAACAGGATGAGGCGGCCTGAGTGCTTTGCAGAGACCGAAGTTCAAATCCCAGTTCTGACCATCACTTGGTGCTGTGGCTTCCCATACTCCATCAGGGTGAGCTTCTCTGTAAAGAGGGGTTGGTGACATCTCACAGGGCCTCAGCTAAACCCATATGCACTGCTGTCTGTGGATTGAGTCTTAGGTAATCCAATGTAAATTGAGACACTGAAGGGGCCCTGAGATTCAGGGGACAACAGGGAAACTTGAGATGGACAACCAGACATTGGGCATTGCAGGCAGTGGATAAGTTTCCTGCCCTAAGAATGTCAGGCTAAGAGGAAAAAGGCAGAAGACTTGGAGTGAACAGAGACAGATGCAGAGTGGTAACAAGGGGATGGTGAGGAGCCGGGGGAGTGGGGTGTAGGGGGGTCACATGAGAATAAACTCAGGAAGTAAAGAGGTTTGTTGTGTCCCTTTGTCTACTCCTGACAGCTTTTTTCCAAAAAAAAAAAAAAAAAAAAAAAAAGAAGTGAAAAATGAGGTGAGATTAGGAGTGTTTGCAGTCACTCTGTGCTGGTGAGGACACAGCAATCTGACTGGCCAGGAATCCAGTGAGAGGCGCTGGGGGGACCAAGGACCTCACATCACTGTCTGATTCCAGCAATCTGGAGGCTGAGGCAGGAAGACTGCCGGGAATTCAAAGCTAGCCTGAGCTGCACAGTGAGACCCTACCTCAAAAATTAATGGAGGGCCAGCATGGTGGCCCACGCCTGTAGTCCACCTGGGAGGCAGAGGCAGGTGATCTCTGTGAGTTCAAGGCCAGCCTGGTCTATATAGTGAGTTCCAGGACAGCTGGGGCTGCAGGGAGACACTGTCTCAAAAGGACCAAAAAAATAAAAAAAACAACAAAATGAAGGAGCTGGGGGCTGGGCTGGCTCAGTGGTTAAGAGCACTGGCAGCTCTTACAGAGGACCTGGGTTCAGTGACTCCAGTTCCTGGGGATCTGATGCCTTTTAGGCCTCCACAGGTATTGCATGTGGTGCACTTACATATATACAGACAAAACACTTATAAAATAAAAATGAGGGCTGGGGAGCTGGCTCAGTGGTTAAGAGCACTGACTACTCTTGCAGAGGACCAGGGTTCGATTCCCAGTGCCCACATGGAGGCTATGAACGCTCCTTAACTCCAGTTCCAGGGGAATCTGAAGCCCTCTTCTGACCTCTGCAGCACTGCATGACACGGTTACACTCACACGTTCAGGCAATACACTCGTATACA